TGCACTATATAGGGAATAGGGTGTCATTTGGGATGCATCCCCAGTCTATCTGCAGAGGGAGGGAACAAGCCCAGCACCAGCCTCAGCATTTGGTTGAGGAATGTATGAGACAGTAGTGCTCTTTACATTATAGCCCTGACTCAATATAATACAACACTTCTACTGTAAAGCAGCGAGTCTATGAAGATTTGAACACAGGTTCATACACTGTACCATTTACTACCTGATCTCTTCCACTTCAATGTATCCCAATGGAGGAATGGTATCATTAGTAAATCAAATGTAAAAATCTAGACAGACCTCTCCCCAGAGACCTCTCTTCCTCTCTTCCCTGCCTTCACCTGTTCTGCTCTCTCTACTGTAGTGTGCATCGGATCAAAGGCAAACTACATTCAATATTTCATTAGAGCGCCGGGCGCATGTGACGGCTCAATCTGAGGCGAGTGGCAAGCGACTCACTGTTAAACATGAGCTCACGGCTCGGCGGCCCTGACGCGAACCGAGCAGCATAATCTCACACCGTTTACCATATTACTCCTACTTAAACGGCCAAGGAGAGAGAGAGAGAGGGGGAGAAGGAGAGGAAGGGGAAGAGCATGAAGGAGAGAGAAGACTAGGGAATCAGATAGAAAGAGGGAGAGAAAGAAAGAGGGAGAGAAAGAAAGAGGGGGAGAGAGCGAGAGCGAGAGAGAGAGAGAGAGAGAGAGAGAGAGAGAGAGAGCGAGAGAGAAAGGAGAGAGAGCGAGGGTGGTTGATAGAGGTCTAGATGGAGAAAGAGAAAATCTGGACCGCATCTCCTGCTTTAAAAATCCCTCTCTTCTTTCCATGGAACACTAAACTGGGTATACCAATCCAAAAGCATGTTTTGGAAGTCACTGAGAAGACCTAGACAAGGAGCTCCCAATAGAGAGGGGAGGGTGAATGTAGCTAGAATATAGATAGATAAAATGTCTTCATATCTGGGATTTATTTGTTCTTCTGTTCTTCCCCCTATGGACATTCAGCAGAGTCTTATTCAAATCCTAGCCAGAGGGGTCTTCTCCTCTGTGCCGCTTCTCTGAGCTGCTCACGCCCCTACTGAAAACAAGTTGGCACACACGGAAGCCAGCTCACATTCCTGCATGAATGCCATTGTCTCTGTCCCAAAAATAACCCTTTATTCGGGTTATATGTACAGATGTTCTGATTGACTGCGTATATAACGAGTACCTGCAATTAATAATGAAATAACTGCCGGTTTTTAATCAAAGCAAATCAACTGAACAATCGACAGACTTTGAAATAGCAAACCAAGGACACATTTAATCCAAGGCATCTCAGAAGCTATTCTTACTCTATGACTCTGATATATATTAGTACATGTTTAAAAATCCATAGCTCTAATACACAATGCTGGCTACAATTCTTCTTTGCTCATTTGCCACACACAGTACATATAATCAAACTTTTAGCTATCGTCACCATCACAGTAGGCTTTTAGCACTATTGTACTGATGAGAATTTCACATGCTGTCAACAGGGCCATGCACAAACAACTGATCTAAAACATGGAGGAAAAAATACAACAAATAAAAAAGATGAGCTGTGCTGAAATGACCACAGACAGAGAGAATCATGGGAGTTGGCGGGTTTAGGTGGATTCTGGGACAGGGTTATGCCGAGAGGCGTCGGACACAAAACCGACCCCCTCTCGTTGTCTCATGCCCACGCAGCTATTCTGAAATGGGTCGGGCTGGGTTAGTTGGTCATTCCAATGGAGCAATGCTACTTGGGTTACAGAGAAGAAAGTTTCCCTCTTAGTCAATAAAGCACAATATACTCTAGAAAGCACAATGCAAGGGGAAAACTGAGATGTTTATTTTTTTTTATGTGTATTGAGAAATATAGTATCTAAGTCTATGGGTTTTCTAACCGTTTTAGAATAGTAGTGACTGATCCAGGTCCCCTTTCAAACTACAGCATTGGCTGGAGTGTCGTCACAATTTAAAACAAAGCATTTTGTCTCATTTGAGCGTCAGTTTTTCCAATTAATTTAGATCAATTATATTCTATACGTTATCCACTCTTGTAAACATCTTTGCAATTGCACTTAGATTTTTGCAATTGGACCTTGAGGTGCAGAATAGCCTTTAGCTAACCGTTAGCTAATGTTAGACAGCTCAAGCCTTGGCTGTCAGTTTGAAAGGAGAAGAAGGAAAGTCACCAAGAGGTTTCATGCATGGTAAATCAAGGTGGTGGTCGCAGAGAGAGAAAGCATGGCACTAAGCGTTTTCAGTCACAAAGTGGGTTACTTACAGGTAATAAGTGTAGGAGTGATAGGTTCTTCTGCCGAGTGGGGTGGTGGTAGGATAAAAGCAGTGGTGGGGAGCGGAGGGGAAATGGAATGGAAGGAAAGGAAAGGAAAGAAAAAGTAAAAATATTAATGTACTGGAGAAAAATATATAGAAATGAAACAAAAAAACACGATATGGCAGCATACAGTGACGGTTTACGTGTACGACTGAGGCTAGGTGGTTGCTGGGGACGACAACGTCATGCGTTGGGTGTAGAGGGGCTAGGTGGGACCTGCTGATTGGCAGGCTAGGTCAGGTGTGCAGGTGCTGCAGGAGAGAATTGTGGGTAGCGTAGTGTCTTAGTGAAGGTGATAGGCTGTTATTGAGAGGAGAGGATAGGTGGGCCACAGTGTTATTAGGAGAGTGAGAGAGTGCAGGAAGAGGACAGAGGAGGAAGCTCAATGGAGCCGTGTTAGAGAGCAAGTTTATCAGGAACTCTAGCTGGAATAATGTTTTTACAACAGCAGTGAATAATTATATTCACAAACGTATGACTCTACTATTTTTTACACATATACTGTTTGACAATCCAGGAAATTGCACTCATCCAGAATATTGGGAAGTAATGATACAGTGTGTATGCAATAACACACAATATGGACACTTGTTATTAGAAACAAGCCTAAACTTTTTCTTACACATACACTATGTGACCCTCATTGGTGTAAAATACTTTAAAGTACTACTTAAGTAGTTTAAAGTAGTTTTTTGGGGTATGTGTACTTGCACTCTTTCTCCACTACATTCCTAAATAAAATAAATGTACTTTCTACTCCATACATTTTCCCTGACACCCAAAAGTACTCGTTACATTTCGAATGCTTAGCAGGGCAGGAAAATGGTCCAATTCACACACTTATCAAGAGAACTCTGGTCATCCGTACTGCCTCTGATCTGACGGACACAAATGCTTTGTTTGTAAATTATTGTCAAAGCGTTGAAGTGTGCCCCTGGCTATCCTTAAATAAATAATAAATAAAATAAATTGTGCAGTCTGATTTGCTTAGTAGAAGGAATGTGAAATGATTTATACTTTTACTTTTGATACTTAAGTATATTTAAAACCAAATACTTTTAGACTTTTACTCAAGTAGTATTTTACTGGGTGACTCACTTTTGCTTGAGTCATTTTCTACTAAGGTATCTTTACCTTTACTCAGGTATGACAATTGGGTACTTTTTCCACCACTGGTGACTCTCAAAGACAACAAAAAATTGCTAATGTGGTTTGGTCCCTGATTCACAATTAGAATCGTTAAAATAAAATATTTCAGGCTAGTAAAACATTCCTGAGGTCATCATTAATTCAGTGAATTCATTGAATTGAAATACGGAACAATAGCTATACTGACAACCATACAGTATGTATCCATGATCTATCCTCTAGATACTGAGTGCAGGGTGGAGATAGTCTAGCATCACTGGTATTCACAAGCACATAACCCAGAGAAATCTGCTTAAATTCCCCATTGTGCTATGTGTGTGTGTGTGTGTGTGTGTGTGTGTGTGTGTGTGTGTGTGTGTGTGTGTGTGTGTGTGTGTGTGTGTGTGTATCAGTGGAGGCTGCTGAGGGGAGGACGGCTCATAATAATGGCTGGAATGGTGTGAATGGAATGGCATCAAATACATGGAACCATGTGTTTGATGTATTTGATACCATTCCACTAATATCCGCGCCAGCCAATACCACAAGCCCATCCTCCACAATTAAGGTGCTCATCAAGTACTTGTGTGGGTGTGTGTGTGTGTGTGTGAGGAGGCAGTTTGGCTATTTGCTCAGCGTTAGTTCCTGGGGCTGCTGTGTAGCATAGACACCCTCTCCCTTCTTTCCCCCTCTCCCTTCTTTCCCCCTCTCCCTCTGGCATTGGACTGGGGCTAATGTAAACTAGCCTGCAGCTACACAGCCACAGGCATCTCTGGCTCTTTGAAAAAAATGTATAATAATAAAGCGCTTTCATACATTTTTCCCTTTTATCTTTGCTAGTTTTTCCCGCCACAAGATAAGCCTAAAATATTATCCTATTCCCATTGCCGGGGTCATTAATACAGTGACATTTGTTTGAGTGGAGGGCGGTATCGGTGTGGAGGGGGAAGGGGGAAGGGGGGAATATGAATATTTCAATGCACACCATATAGCAGTGCCATAAACAGTTTAATGGCGCTTATCAGTGTCATCAAATCAATTATTTAGCCTTGCCATTGACGATGCAGAGGGTTTTGAAGGTGAAAGGACAATCAGAGGGAATTAATTTGATTTGGCCTATTATGTAATTACACTAAGCACACAACTCTCCCAAAGCCACAGCTTAAAGGGACACTTCAGGATTTTGGCAATGATTTTGGCACTTTATCTACTTTCCCAGAGTCAGATGAACTCGTGGTATGTTAGCTGTTTCCATAGATTTCCAGTCATTGCGCTAATGCTAGTTAGCAATTGCGCTAACACTAGATTAGCAACTTCCTTCAAATTGCATGTAGATACATAAAAATGGTATCCACATGTTCATCTGAATCTGTGGAAGTAGATAAAGGGCCTCATTGCCAAAATCCTGAGCTATCCCTTTAACGCTAGACCTCGGTGACCAGCTATGAGGGAATGGAAACCTTCAAACAGTCATTCAATACAGTCAATGTATTTATTCAGTGGACCTTGATAGTCTCTTACCTTTTCTTCATGACCAGCACCACACCGAGGAAGATGATGACGAAGAGCAAGACACCGGCGATGACTCCGGCGATCTTTACCGTGTGATCCGTCTGCTTCTCCGGCTCCACCGCGTCAGGCTTCCTGGTCGCAGTCCCTGGTGATCAAAGAGTATAGGCAATAACGTTCACCAGGTGGCCATTTTGGATCCGTGTCATCATTATCATCATGGTTGTCACATCATTCACCACACACTTCATTCTCATCAAGTACTTAAGACCGCACCCGTTGCCAGTGGAGCATTGACTATGTTAGACTACAGGGAAAGGCTTGAAACGAGAAAAATTTGAATTCATACATTGTTGTTATACTTCATTATGACAACACTGTCTTTAAGTCTACTGGGTGGTCTAACTCTGGTCTAACTCTGTGGTTAGGAGTTGGAAAACTCCAGCAACTACCCTTTTTCCAGATGGCAAATAAATGATGTGTGCACTACTGACTCCTTACTGTATTAGACTTCATAAAATGCAGAGCTGGGCCCTTTCCATATTAAATGTATTGTCATGTAATGTAGAAAGTTTTTTTAGAGTGACGACAGTGACATTTACACAGCTCTCGTATTGCAGGGCCTGTATGTGGCTGCATGTTCTCTCCGGCTTCCCCGTGCACTCCCTGTCTGTCCTCCAGCCACCCTCCTGGGATGACCTGCTTATGCACTACCTTATTTCCCTCCCTCCATCCATTCCTCCCTCCTTCCATCCCTAAATGAAGCAGTCATTTGCACTCGCCTCAGCTCCTGCACCTGCACCTGAGAGTGCCAGATAAACTCATTAACCGTGCGTTTTTACACACCCATTGTCTTTGGACGACACAATGTGCACGTTGCCTCTCTTGCCTTTGGATATTCAAATCTGTGTTGTCCACTGTAAATTAAAAAATTTCAGTCATTTAGCAGACGCTCTTATCCAGAGCGACTTACAGTTAGTGAGTGCATACGTGTTTTTATTTTTATACTGGCCCCCCGTGGGAAACGAACCCACAACCCTGCCGTTGCAATCGCCATGCTCTACCAACTGAGCTACACGGGTCACTGTAGCATGGTGAATGGCGGTGGACAAACAAGAAAAGTGAGAGGGGGACTACTTCCTTGGGGGCAATTTATTCCCAAAGTAGGCAGTGACGGGTGATCACACCGATGGCCAGGGAATTTAATATCTGCTCCAATCAGATAACCAGGCCCCTCGCAGCAGAGCCACTGTGTAACACTAGTACTGGGGCCTTCCCCTCATCTAAGGGAGGGAGAGAGAGGAGGAAAGGAAGGAGAGAGAGACAGAAAGAGAGAGGGAGGGGAGAGAAAGAGGAGGGATAGAAAGAGATGGAGTGAGACAGAAAGAGAGAAGGAGCCTCCTGCTCTCCTGTTTACTGTATAATGTGATGGAACGTCAACCCGCGGCCCGATGAAATATCCATTTCCCCGCGCTAAATGAGTTCGGGATGAAAAATAGTCGGGACACGCCGTTCCAATTCGCCCCGGCCCCCGAATCTATTCCTCCCTGCCAGTGCCACTTTTTCAATCAAAGGGTGACAACATCCATCACCCGCAGCTTGTGTGCCTATCGTTGTTACCGCAGTGACGGATAGGAGGGCCGGCAAGCGGGGGGCTCATTCCGCAGTGGGAATTTGTGTTTTACTCCAAAGGGTGAGTCTGGGTGAAGTGAGGGGAGAGAGGAGAGGGCAGGCCTGTAGGACAGAGGGCCTAGGAGAGAGAGGTGACCATTCAGCAGTCTGTGAGAGTATGTGTAACACACCGATCACTCTCTAGAGAAGGGGGTGTCAATCTCATTCCATGGAAGGCCTTTGTCCACAGGTTTTAGTTTTTTCCTTTCAGTTAAGCCCTAGACAACCAGGTGAGGAGAGTTCCTTACTGATCAGTGACCTTATTTCATCAATCAAGTACAAGGGAGGAGCGAAAACCCGCCGCAGACACTCAGCCCTCTGTGGAATGAGTTTGACACATGCTCCAGAGTCATACGGTCAGCCGCCCTCAAGGTTCTACACCAAGGTGGACTTGGTTGACCACCTTGAATGAGATGTTGGGTCCAGAGGGGGACAGACAGTCATCAGCATTCACCTACCAGGCACGCAGTCTCTTAGAATGTCTGCTCCCAATTAATCCGTTATTCCATATATTGTGAATACCACTAGATAAAACCAAAGATGGACTTCTGACTCTGTTATACACTGAATGTACAAAACATTAGGAACACCTTCCTAATATGGAGCTGCACCCCCTTTTGCCCTCAGAACAGCATCAATTCGTTAGATCCAATGTCTCCCACAGTTTTGTCAGGTTGGCTGGATGTCCTTTGGGTGGTGGACAATTCTTAATACACACAGGAAACTGTTGAGCGTGAAAAGCCGAGCAGCGTTTCAGTTCATGATACACTCAAACCAGCGTGCCTGGCACCTACTACCATACCCTGTTCAAAGGCACTTCAATCTTTTGTCTTGCCCATTCACCCTTTGAATGGCACACATACACAATCCATGTCTCAAATGTCTCAAGGCTTTAAAATCCTTCTTTAACCTGTCTCCTCCCCTTAATCTAGACTGATGTAAGTTGATTTAACAAGTGACATCAATAAGAGATAGATTTAACCTGGATTAATCTGGTCAGTCTATGTCATGGAAAGAGCAGGTGTTCCTAATGTTTTGTACACTCAGTTTAAGGTAGACCTTGTGTGGGCAAAAATATAGAAAACAGTCGTTTACATGAGAACAGAGGTTTTAAATATATTCCTAAACTAAAAGACAGAACAGTCAAGGTCAGATTGACTCCCTTGCCATCTCCAGTTTGTGTTTGGGAAATGTAAAAAAATCTCCAGCTGTGTTGGACTTTTCAACTATTAACTTTCACTCCAAGCTTTTCTACTTCAAACTCTCTCCTTGACATCTCTGTTTATGGGTCATTAGAAAACCGAATGCCCAGAGAGACAGAAAACACTAGTTATTTTTAAGTTTAAACGGCAGATATCTCCGGCTTTGAAGAAGGCAGTAGAGCTTTTGGGCTTTCCGCGTAGCCGTTTCATGTGAAACTCAAACTAAGCGAGGTGCTTGGAGGATATTGTGGTCTCGGTAGCGCTATGTAGGAGGGAGTGTCAACGTCAAGGCCTGAAACACTGCAACAGCTGGTTAACAACACACAGCGGCCTCCACTGCTTTCAGCTCCACATGTCCCCAGGACACTGTAAATAAAACAAATTATATTTAACGACCCCCGACAGGTCACTGCTATCTAGAGACCAAACCGATGTTGTTGATGTTGTTGTCCATCCAGCCTGTACTGAAACTAGCTGTATCGGACTCATGCTTTGATAAGTAATTATAAATACATTAGGGTTGCCACGATACCAGTATCTCGATACTCAAAGGTATCGTAGCAAGGAAATAAAACATGAAGTGGACTAAATTTCCTGAGGAAAACAGTCCTACTGTTGGAAACGACCAGCCTTATATTGTCACCCAGAGCTATAGCACACAATATGTTACATACAGTAGGTATTTAAAGGACCAAAGAGTTCAGTCTGCTTTGTGTTTCCATTTTTGCCACGGGAAAATCAGGTATCCTAGTATCGCGATTCTGGCATCGTGACAACCCTAATACACGTTAACTGCAAAAGTTGGTTGAGTATCGTAACTTTTGGTGGAAACTGAAAATTGTAAGTGTCAAACGGTGTTGCATATTGTAACAATTTGTCTTTTCCATCAGTACTTTTGACATTGTGTCCTCCGAATAACCCCCTTTCTACCTCTCAAATCCTGTTCATTCCCTGTGACGCTTTACAAGCAAAAAACATCCAATGGTTAAATATTTTACTTTTACAGGAGAACATTTTGCATTTCACAGTGTCTGACTGTGTGAGACTGGGGAGAATCGTTTGGCTTCTTGTATAAACAGAAGTTGGAAAGTTTTCATCTTTCCTTTGATGCTGCAGCTGCCTGGTAAATATTTAAATTTAATTTTCTGACAGCAGGTTAAGCAGGACCGCTTTGTCGTGCCAGTGCGCAGCTTCTCTGTTTATTGCTTGCTTCCCGAGGCCCATATTGATATTTTTTTCCGCCCGCTCAACTCGTACATCACCCTTGAATGAAAATGTAATTCTATGTTTTTGCAACACAAACAGGTGTTCCAGGTACCAAACCCCTTGTAACACTATCTGTAGGATATAAATACGATGAATACTGACCGAATGGCGGGTATGAATATTAAGTCAGCTCTATGGCAGGAATCAACATATCTGGTAACCTAGTTAACCATTGACGGTCTCCCAAACAACACGTGTCAGTGCACATCCTGGTTTTTAAACACTTAAATAGACACGCTACACAATGTAACACAAACAGATATAGCGGTTATAAAAAGTTATAAGGCACAAACACAGACACACAAGGTCATGGATCCAGACACACACACACACACACACAGATCCACATGTCATGAGAGGAGAGAGCTGGGCAGTAGTAGTTGTGGTCTGACCTGTTAGTTGGTTGTCGCCAGCCGCGGGGGCGATGCGTATGTAGGGAGTGGTGAGCTGAGTCACGATTATGGCGGCTAAGGCAAAAGAAGAAGTTGTTCCAGGCCAACATGCAGGAAGGAGAGAAGAAGAAGAGGGCAAGGCTGAAGCCAATAGACTCAGACAGAGAGAGAGAGACCTCTCACAGGGAGGAACAGAAGATGACATACTGTATCGTTCACAAGCTTTGCATTTGTTAAGTAACGGTTTTGTTTCTATACATTAGTAATAATAATATAATATGCCATTTAGCAGACGCTTTTATCCAAAGCGACTTACAGTCATGCGTGCATAATTTTTTTGTGTATGGGTGGTCCCGGGGATCGAACCCACTACCTTGGCGTTACAAGCGCCGTGCTCTACCAGCTGAGCTACAGAGGACCACTGCAGAAGCTTGGTTGATGACTTGTTTGTGTTTTGTACTCGTGAACACCATGAGGGAACTAACACAGGCCTTTCATACAAACCTGAGGGAGCCATTCTAGAGATATGGGACTGGATATAAACATTCTGCTAGAGCCGCTAATCTCCTCAATATTCAGTTCACTGTCATGCTTATGGCCTTCTGTATGGGCAGTTTGTCTCGCACCACAACCCCCTCGGGGGATCTGATTGGCTGCCACCACTATGACTGGCAAGTACCCCAAGAGTCACTGAACCTATTAGCAGATGCTACTCTTAAAGTGACAACGCTCAGGTCCAATAAAAAAACAGATTAAAATGCCATAAACGATAGCGAAAGCAATGAAAAAAAGAAAAAAGCATAAAAACAGTCCTTTCATAATCTATGATGGGAAAAAGGGGGATTTGAAAATTCTAACTTGTTTAGCATCCGCGGCTAAAAAGGGTTGGAAAAGATACAGGAGATAGCGCTCATTAGCATATAGCATTATAGCCCAGTCTTGGCACCTTGAGAAAGAGATGGCATGTAGTATGGCAAATAGATTATCTACCATCTGTACACAATTACATTGCAGTGCAGCGGAGCACCAATGCCTGGCTAGTGCTAGTAAGTGGACAGTGCGGCTTGCTAAGTAGCGCCACTGGAATCCAATATGGGGGGGGGGCAATGAGAACTTGGACCATCTGCTGGCAATCTAAATGTTTTCCCTTTCCTATGATTGGTCGACATCTCCCATGTTGTCGACATCTCCCATGTTGGGGGAGGCGGTTTGTGAAAGTTTGGGCGCATGCCTTTTGGCTAGCCAAGCTCAGTCCTATGGCCTGGAGGCTACTAGCACTATACAAGGCATATCCAACTACCATACTGGTGGGTGTGATACTGACAAATGGACAGGTTACTGGCCAAGTTTTTAGAGTGGAAACTTCTTTTATTTTGGTGGGTGTTTTTTGGTTCTGTTAGAAAAAAGACAAACACACTAATTTGACTGTATACTGCAGCGTCACTACAGCCTGGGGTTCGATCCTGGGGTGACCGGGCGGCGCACAATTGGCACAGCGTCGTCCGGGTTAGGGGAGGGTTTGGCCGGGGGGCTTTACTTGGCTCATCGTGCTCTAGCGACTCCTTGTGGCGGGCCGGGCGCATGCAGGCTGACTTCGGTCGTCAGTTGAACGGTGTTTCCTCCGACACATTGGTGCAGCTGGCTTCCGGGTTAAGCGAGCGGGTGTTAAGAAGCGCGGCTTGGCGGGTCATGTTTCGGAGGACGCATGACTCGACCTTCACCTCTCCCGAGCCCGTTGGAGAGTTGCAGCGATGAGACAAGACCATAATCACGAACTTGGGGAGAAAAAGGGGGTAAATAAAAAAAAAAAAATATATATATATATATATATATATATATAGTGTCAAAAGTTTGGACACACCTACTCATTCAAGGGTTTTTCTTTATTTTTACTATTTTCTGCATTGTAGAATAATAGTGAAGACATCAAAACTATGAAACAACATATGGAATCATGCAGTAACCAAAAAAGTGTTAAACAAATCAAAATATATTTTATATTTGAGATTCTTCAAATAGCCACCCTTTGCCTTGATGACAGCTTTGCACACTCTTGGCATTCTCTCAACCAGCTTCACCTGAAATGCTTTTCCAACAGTCTTGAAGGAGGTCCCACATATGCTGAGCATATGGTCCAGTTTCATCATAGCACTTGAAGAAACTTTCAAAGTTATTGAAATGTTCCGTATTCACTGACCATGTCTTAAAGTAATGATGGACAGTCGTTTCTCTTTGCTTATTTGAGATGTTCTTGCCAGAATATGGACTTGGTCTTTTACCAAATAGGGCTATCTTCTGTATACCCCCCCCCCCTCCCTCCCCCCTACCTTGTCACAACACAACTGATTGGCACAAACGCATTAAGAAGGAAAGAAATTCCACAGATTTACTTTTAAGAAGGCAAACCTGTTAATTGAAATGCATTCCAGGAGACTACCTCATGAAGCTGGTTGAGAGAATGCCAAGAGTGTGCAAAGCTGTCATCAAGGCAAAGGGTGGCTATTTGAAGGTTACTACATGATTCCATATGTGTTATTTCATAGTTTTGATGTCTTCACTAATATTCTACAACGTAGAAAATAGTAAAAATAAAGAAAAACCCTTGAATGAGTAGATGTTCTAAAACATTTGACCGGTAGTGTATATATTACTTAAAACTTTATCTGCTACTGTTGTGTGCTTATGTTGTGTGCTTAAGCTTTTGCGTAGAGGACATTGTTAATAGGAAAATGCCCAATGCTTACGACTTAACACTTTACACAAGTACACTATCAAATTGAGTGAGAGGAAACAAGGTGAGTGGCCAATGAGCAAACATTAGTCTCTAAAAAGCATGAGTAGCCGATAATAAGAAAAGCTGCGTAGAGCGTTATAGACCTGTGGTCGCGCCAAAACAAACCTTGGCAACATTCAGGTGTGTGTGTGTGTGTGTGTGTGTGTGTGTGTGTGTGTGGGTGTGGGTGTGTGTGGGTGATAGAGAGAGGGGAAACAAATTTCAATCAACGGTGGGTAGATTACTTTCATGCAACGGGACCAGTCCTACCTTTAGTGGCCACTCGTACACAATCGATTTTGGTCTCCTGCGAGGGGAGAAAAAAAGAAAGAAACAGAGGAGAGAGAGAAAGAGAGAAAGACAAAGAAAGAGGGACAAAGAGGGGAAAAGGCATCAGTTCTCAGTCACAACAAATTGCAACATATGTAGCTGTCAGGGCTGTGTAGGACCTGCTGCCTCTCAGTCTCAGTCAGGCTGTGTAGGACCTGCTGCCTCTCAGTCTCAGTCAGGCTGTGTAGGACCTGCTGCCTCTCAGTCTCAGTCAGGCTGTGTAGGACCTGCTGCCTCTCAGTCTCAGTCAGGCTGTGTAGGACCTGCTGCCTCTCAGTCTCAGTCCAGGCTGTGTAGGACCTGCTGCCTCTCAGTCTCAGTCAGGCTGTGTAGGACCTGCTGCCTCTCAGTCTCAGTCAGGCTGTGTAGGACCTGCTGCCTCTCAGTCTCAGTCAGGCTGTGTAGGACCTGCTGCCTCTCAGTCTCAGTCAGGCTGTGTAGGACCTGCTGCCTCTCAGTCTCAGTCAGGCTGTGTAGGACCTGCTGCCTCTCAGTCTCAGTCAGGCTGTGCTCGTTCCAATCTGCTCAGACAGACTGGGGTGTACAACAGAGGGGAGAGAGAGAGAGAGGCTGTGGATCAGCGCCTCCGCTTGGCATCTAGCAGCCAGCTGTCAGAGACTAGTCTGCACTACACTTTATACCCAGAGTCAACCACGACCTTGAGGCTCCACACACACACACACACACACACACACTCACATACAAGTGGGCACATACAGTCTGTACACAGAGATATGCACAGGAACATATGCACATACAGTATCCATTAGATGTGGGTGTGCACTCCTCAAAATGTCTATAGTGGAGCTAGCTGTACAGCAAACCACCATGTTGGGTCTCCTAAGCCCTGTGATGGTGGATTAGGGGGAGGTTGATGGTGGACAGAGTACAGCTGTGACTAGGAACCTAATAACTGTTGAAACACGCTCTACCACCCCCACCCCGGCTTTGCGTTCGCTCTTCTTACAAACGTGGAACCAACAAACACAGAAAAGCAAATGTCTCCTGAGTGGCGCAGTGGTCTAAGGCACTGCATCGCAGTGCTAACTGTGCTACTAGAGATCCTGGTTCGAATCCAGGCTCTGTCGCAGCCGGCCGCGACCGGGAGACTCATGGGCGGCGCACAATTGGCCCAGCGTTGTCCAGGGTAGGGGAGGGAATGGCCGGTAGGGATGTAGCTCAGTTGATAGAGCATGGCGTTTGCAACGCCAGGGTTGTGGGTTCGATTCCCACGGGGGGGCAGTATAAAAAAAAAAAAAAAAAAAAAAAAAAAAAAAAAAAAAAAAAAAAAAAAAAAAAAAAATATGTATTCACTAACTGTAAGTCGCTCTGGATAAGAGCGTCTGCTAAATGACTAAAATGTAAATGTAAATGTAAGCAACGCCGCATTAATATTCAAGCGGTCGAGGAAAGTGACTTGGGGCTTATGCTTAAATCCCCCCGTGTTTTATGACAGCAAAATGCTTGTGTGGCTTATTGCATTATTGAGGAGACGACAAATTAAACTGTGGAGTGCGCTGAATAATTAAAACAACCAGGAGGATGGTGTGAGTGTGTGACTCAGGTAGGGAGAGGAGAAAGCTCTGGAGCAACAAGGCAGCGAAAAGAAGAGACTTGTCTACTAGGGCTGCTTGATGACATTGAAACCAGATCTTGCCATATGGCAAATATCACCAGCACTTAACGAGATACTGGCATGTAAATGGAATAGCTGGCTGTAGTTTATTTAGAATGATTTGGATCACTTAGAATCTAGGATTAGAATACCTGGTTTAAACTAACAAAATGTGAATATCTCCATTTTCAGTTAGGTCTGAGTTCAGTATTGAATGCTGTTTTCCCTCCAATGTGCCAGTCTGGCTCATGGAAGCTGGTGTCCTTTCTCTGATCTGAACGGAGGCCAGAGGGCTGAGGGGAACGGGAAATGTTTTCAGTCTCTCTCTCTCGCTCTCTCTCTCCTCAGAAGAGAGACCCAGGGCCTACTGATCTCCTCTCCAGCCACCCCAGCAATTTGTGTGGAAACTGTCTCCTGTTTAAAATGTCAGCACAGAGGCTTCAACTGTAATGTGTGTGTGTATTATCAGAAACTCACATAGAAATGTGGACTTACACACACACAAGCACACACAGCAGTACCGCTAGCTGCTCCTCTACCGCCCCACAGCACCCTATTAGCATTAGTGGGAGTCAGACGGCGGAACATCCCGCTCCGCTCCTCTCCCAGACCTCCATTAGGGGGTTAGTGTGGATCCCTGCTCCCCCACCAGAAGGTGAGACCAGAGCACCGAGACGAGACAAGCATAGTCTCAACCCCCCCGGCTAGTCTTTCTCCAATTAGAGCCAGTGAATGATCTAATGGCCCGAGGTTGAGAGCAGAGGAGAGGAGGAGAGCAGAGGAGAGGAAGAAAAAGGATGGGCTTTTCATTAGGGATAATTTATTTGCATTTCAAAAATGGGGAGATGGCAGATATTTTTGTATTTATTTTTTTAGAGTCAATAATGCATTTGTGAATGGCCGTACTTGAATTTTGTGCAATCTGAACAGCAGGACATTGATAAAAGGGTTGTCTGGCCTCTGGCTGTGCTGTACTCTCCCACTGACAGTGCACTATAGCGGTTAGGAGGGGGGGGTGTAATGGGGTTGGTTGGAATACTGGGTTATAGCCCATTATGATGCTGGATTGGTTATCAAATAGGCCTTGAAGGAGAGTCTTGTTGTGGCTGTTCATTGATCCTAATTTTCTGCATTCGTACAGTTTGCTTTACTTTCCGTTTCAGACTGGTGTTTTCACAGTGAATGGGGAAGTGATAGAACTTGAGTGGTGGGTTAGACTTTAGTTGACTTTGTTGGGATTGAGGCTGTACTGTAAGTATTTCACTACATATGTTTTTGGTGGCAGTGCTGTCTCCTACAGTAGTAAGAGACAGCAGATGAGAGTGGTCAGGTAGGTTGGACTGTAGCATATTAACCCTGGCTGTGAGGGCGTGGGACAAAATGTAGATGACCAAGAAAGAACGCACTTAAAAATACCAATCCAGACGACATAACGTACCATAATGCCACACCGACATGAATGTCATTTTTCTACAGGTGCTTTTAAATAAGGGGCCATTTTCTTTTCACAATGAGGATTATTTAGGGTAAGTGGTTCATTATCAGATATTAACAATGGGTGCAAATGAATTCAAAATGGGTTTTTGTAAAGCTGTTAAAAGCATAACACAGTTAAAAGGCATCAGTTTCACATCCAACCTTGTTGTGGGGTGTGAACGAGCTATGACTGACATGTCAAGCCAACCAATCAATAAGCAGCCTCTGATTTGGGACATATCCCAGCAGCCAATCGCCACCCCAACATCTCCCCACTCACTCACCCCATTGGCTGTGCTGACAGCCTGGTAGTAGATGCTGTAGCTCTTGTGGGGGAGGAGGGGGGCGTTCCAGTAGCCGTTGTAGGTGCGATTGTCTCCGATGCAGAAGGGTACCGGGGTTTTGATGTCGCCCATGGGCAGCTCGGCCGTGAAGTAGTACTGTGAGTTGAGCACGGTGGCGTTCTGGAAGTGGATGGGCACCGGGTAGCAGCGCAGGATCTCTGCCGCCCTCCGTGTCCGTCGGGGGCGCTCTTCCTCCACCACCACCTGGTACTTACTGCCGGGGAAAGAGGAAAAGAAAGACCAATCAATTAAATGTACTTATTTTGCCCTGTTTACAACAACATTTCTCATGAAGTGCTTCCCAGTAACCCCCACCAAAAATGCCTATCAAAATAAGACTTGTAATTTTAGTAAAATAGGACTACATTTCACAGGTAACATAACGTAGCAGGCATAAAATAAATGCCTGAAACTAGATCCCCTACATACTGGTCTTGACGAGAAAGAAAAAATAATAATAATACATGTCGGGGGAGGTTCTCTCCTGCACTGTTCAACCAATCCAGTAAATGTGGAGGAGTTAAGGTGGAGTGTTGCCAGAGAGGAAGAGGCGAAGCGAGAGGCATAACTTGAGCCAAAACCTCTTCTCCAGCAGGTGGAATTGTTATGTTTATTTCGCTCACCAAGCAAAGAGTTTTTATATGGAGGTCAATGAGTGTCGATATTGGTTAATAAATAAAACAAAAATATGGCTTATTTACTGTGTGGCTTATTTGATCGAATATAAGTTACGTAATGATTAGGTTGTTACGAGTGTACTGATATAAATAGGACACATGACATCTTGGTAACTTTGAGAAAAAACACCATCAGAGTTCTGCCTGGTCGTCACTAGTTACCACCGCCACAAAATCATAAACCCCGCCTATTTCTACAATTTCGCTCCTTAAAATGTGATTTTAAACCTAACCCTAACCACACTGCTAACCTTATGCCTAACCTCAAAGAAAGCTAATTTTTGCTTTCATTAATTTTTACGATATCGCCCATTTTGACTTTGTGGCTGTGGTAACTAGTGGATATCGTCGTGCCTGTTGTACATTTTAGTAATTTAGCAGACACTCTTATCCAGAGCGATTTACAGTTAGTGAGTGCATACATTTTCATACTGTATACGCGTATCTGCCCTCATTGGCTCGAATGGTCCCTCCCTCCCTTCCATTTTTGAAGACATTTTTAATTGTTAGAGCGGCGTATCTGGTCAATATAATGGATAGTCTGTGGTGTCGTCTTGTTCACGTCCAAAAGTGGAAGTCGCAGCACAGGCGCTCTTTCCATTTCCCCTGAAAAACGGAAGATTCGGTTGTTGGGGACTCGGCAGAGGATAATTTACAGGTAAATGCCAAAAATAATGGAAACGCCAACAAAGTGTCTTAATAGGGCGTTGGGCCACCACGAGCCAGAACAGCTTCAATGAACCTTGGCATAGATTCTACAACTGTCTGGAAATCTATTGGAGGGATGTGACACCATTCTTCCACGAGAAATTCCATCATTTGGTGTTTTGTTGATGGTGGTTGAAAGCACTGACTCAGGCACCACTCCAGAATCTCCCATAAGTGTTCAATTGGGTTGAGATCTGGTGACTGAGACAGCCAATGGCGTATGGTTTACATCGTTTACATGCTCATCAAACCATTCAGTGACCACTCCTGCCCTGTGGATGGGAGCATTGTCATGCTATGGGGGCATAGCCATGGTAGCCAAAATAATGGTCTGCCAAGCATTTTTATACATGACCCTAAGCGTGATGGGATGTTAATTGCTTAATTAACTCAGGAACCACACCTGTGTGGAAGTACTTGCTTTCAATATACTTTGTATCCCTCATTACTCAAGTGTTTTCCATTATTTTGGCAGTTACCTGAACGTTAAGTCCACAGGTTAATTTGTGTCTTTATTTTGTTAATGGCCCATCATTATATATGTCAAGGCCACGTCTTTTCAAACCTGAAAGGATCAAAGAAATCTCTGCCTGCTAGATTTAGATTTTCCTTTGTTGTATCTTTAATCCATTATTGTGTATTAATGAAATCGCCAAACAGAACCAGCCTGAGAAACATATGAACACGTTAATTAACAATGACAGAAACCCATTTCCACTAGTTCAGAGGGCATAGTCTACATCATGAGCTGCAGTTTGTGTTTCTCCACTGAAAACACTTTCAAAAGCAACCTCAAGTCCTGCAGTCTACCCTTTTATTAGAAAACATATGCAAAAAAATTAGTTAAAAGAGAAAGCATGACTGAACATTAACATACACTATTATATACAAAAATATGTGGACACCCCTTCAAATTAGTGGATTCGGCTATTTCAGCCACACCCATTGCTGACAGGTGTATAAAATCGAGCACACAGCCAAGCAATCTCCATAGACAAACATTGGCAGTAGATTGCCTTACTGAAGAGCTCAGTGACTTTCAACGTGGTACCATCATAGGATGCCACCTTTCCAACAAGTCAGTTCGTCAAATTTCTGCCCTGCTAGAGCTGCCCCGGTCAACTGTAAGTGCTGTTATTGTGAAGTGGAAATGTCTAGGAGCAACAACGGTTCAAAGAATGGAACCGGCGAGTGCTGAAGTGTGTAAAAACCGTCTGTCCTCGGTTGCAACACTCACTACGGAGTTCAAAACTGCCTCTGGAAGGAACGTCAGCACAATAACTGTTTGTCGATAGCTTCATGAAATGGGTTTCCATGACCGAGCAGCCGCACACAAGCCTAAGATCACCATGTGCAATGCCAAGCGTCGGCTGGAGGGGTGTAAAGCTCGCCACAAGTGGACTCTGGAGCAGTGGAAACACATTCTCTGGAGTGATGAATCATGCCATCTGGCAGTCCAATGGACTAATCTGGGTTTGGCGGATGCCAGGAGAACACTACCTGCCTGAATGCATAGTGCCAACTGTAAAGTTTGGTGGAGGAGGAATAATGGTCTGGGGCTGTTTTTAATGGTTCGGGCTAGGCCCCTTAGTTCCAGTGAAGGGAAATCTTAACGCTACAGCATACAATGACATTCTAGACGATTCTGTGTTTCCAACTTTGTGGCAACAGTTTGGGGAAGGCCCTTTCCTGTTTCAGCATGACAATGCCCCCGTGCACAAAGTAAGTTCCATACAGAAATGGTTTGTCGAGATCGGTGTGGAAGAACTTGACTGGCCTGCACAGAGCCCTGACCTCAACCCCATCGAACACCTTTGGGATGAATTGGAACGCCGACTGCGAGCCAGGCGTAATCACCCAACATCAGTGCCCGACCTAACTAATGCTCTTGTAGCTGAATGGCAGCAATGTTCCAATATCTAGTGTAAAGCCTTCCCAGAAGAGTGGAGGCTGTTATAGCAGCAAATGGGGGGACCAACTCCATATTAATGCCCATGATTTTGGAATGAGATGTTCGACATTCAGGTGTCCACATACTTTTGATCATGTAGTGTATAACCTTGCAATGAGAGCTTTTGTATTCTATACAGTACATGCTCCATAGGTTTCCATAATATACTATACTGAATAGAAGCAAAAACCTGTTAGCATTGGAATGAGAGAGACTTGGGGTTGGCGAAGGTGGTGACACGCTTTAGTATTGGCAAGGGGTTCTCTCTCCCTCTCTCTCTCTCTCTCTGACTTAGTGAACGCAGCCCAGCTTTAATTAACTCAGTAAAGCCTGCAGCCTAGCAACCCAGAGAAATAGACCGCTATCTCATTTACAGGGCGCTATAGCGATAGCAGTCGGGCGGGCAATATCCCATCTATGTGGAGGGATTTAAATGGCATGAAAATAAAAGGGGTAACTGTACAAGGGTTCCCGGCTCGCTCTCTCTCTGCCAGGATATTTGACGACTGAACCCCTGACACCGGCTGGGGATGAGCGCGCGGCTGTGAGTGTGCACCAAAATAATAATGATATGAAAAAGGTTCCTACTAGCGCGCCCCCTATTCCGTGTCAGGAATTAAGTTTATTATAAGAGGAGAGATCAGCATCCATGATCCAACCCTGAACCAGGCTTCCTAGTGAGAAATTAGAGCAGGGTAGAAAGCCTTGGGAAGCGGCAGAGGCAATAGGCAATATTAATAGGAACTGGATAAGGATTGGGTGGGAGGTGAAGTACTTTTTCAGTATGCGGGTGTCGGATCAAGTAAGCCCAAGTCCAAAGCCATAGCCTTTTTCCAATGCAATAGATGGGGATATTGGCAGGGAGGGATGGAAGGAAGGAACAAATGAACATGGAGGTGAAATGACAAGTAGGCCCAGGCAGGCAGGGAGGGAGCCAGGTGTCTCTATATTAGTCCAGTGTGTGTGTGTGTGTGTGTGTGTGTGTGTGTGTGTGTGTGTGTGTGTGTGTGTGTGTGTGTGTGTGTGTGTGTGTGTGTGTGTGTGTTAGTCCATGAACACAGTGGAGCTCAACACAGCAGAACAGAAGCAGCTAAATGAGAGGGAACGATTCAGCCTTTCTTTTCTCCTTCCTAAAGAGCAGCACCTAGACAAATGAGCTCTGAAAGCCTCCACTATTTGTCCTGTAAATAATTCAAACACCTAAAAGGTCAAAACACTCTTCTCACTCACTTCTCCTTTATCAAAGTCTGGTTGTAGACAGAATAGAGCGGGAGAGAGGATAAGGGAGTTTGCATTGGGGCAAATGGACCAACGTCACAGGTAATGAGGTTGAAGGTTGTGGTGTGTGAACAGATATGCAATCGTAGTCTGATAATTCAAGAGCAGATACTACCTTTCATAATAAGTTAACATAAAATGAGTATGAACATTAAATATGAGTATGAATATTAAATATGAGCATGAATATTAAATATGAGTATGAACATTAAATATGAGCATGAATATTGCTGATTTGATCCCCGTTCTCTTTCAGTGACACTCCAACAATATAACCATAATTGCTGTAATTAGCTCAAAATAATCCTTTATTTCAGTGAGATTGTTATGCATGAACTAACCCAAAAAGGTTAATGTGACAAAATTGCTAATTTAATCAAATGTTATGGCTAAACAGAATATCTGAAGCCATCAGCCCAACAAACCATAATTAAAAGCAAATGAACAATCATAACTCATCTCATTTTCTCAGTCCTTATAACTAACCATGCTGTTTTATAATATAACATAATGGAATATTTGTCCAGCTTGAACCGGGTTGCTCTAGTGTACAGGAGAGCATCTGCTGTTTTTGTAATTTCTCCTCTGGACAGTTTTGTCACTTTTAAATGGAGCATAACGTTAAGCTGACCTAACTTCAAGGCTGTTTGTCGTGAGTGTTACTCAAGCACAGTCAAGTGGAACTCAAGGTGGAGTGAGGTGCAAAGACAACGTACAACAAATTCAGCGGACCTCTAACCTTTCCAGGAAGTAACCATCTGCTTTCACCTGAGCATAATCTCTAGAAGAAAATAGTTTCAAACAAGAACCGAGAAAGCTCCAGAGTCCCAACTCCACTTCCCACAATCAAAAAACCCTGAAACAACATGTTTGTCTTGGAAATAACAGTTTGTCGGGTTGAGCGCTCTCCAAACTGGAGGCTGCATTATAAATAGTGGGGCCTATTCGATATTCACTAATTACATTTCCCCCGGCTTAGTCCACATCCATTGGAGATTAGCTCTATCAAACTGTTTGGGAATATAAAATCAAATCAAATTTTATTGGTCACATACACGTGTTTAGCAGATGTCATTGCGGGTGTAGCGAAATGCTTGTGTTTCTAGCTCCGACAGTGCAGTAATATCTAACAAGTAATATCTAACAATTTCACAACATATACCCAATACACACAAATCTAAGTAAAGCAATGAAATTAAGAATATATAAATAAATATATGGAAGTGCAATGGCAGGGCGGCATAGATAAGATACAGTAGAATACAGTACATATAGTGGGGAGAACAAGTATTTGATACACTGCCGATTTTGCAGGTTTTCCTACTTACAAAGCATGTAGAGGTCTGTAATTTTTATCATAGGTACACTTCAACTGTGAGAGACGGAATATAAAACAAAAATCCAGAAAATCACATTGCATGATTTTTAAGTAATTAATTTGCATTTTATTGCATGACATAAGTATTTGATCACCTACCAATCAGTAAGAATTCCGTCTCTCACAGACCTGTTAGTTTTTCTTTAAGAAGCCCTCCTGTTCTCCACTCATTACCTGTATTAACTGCACCTGTTTGAACTCGTTACCTGTATAAAAGACACCTGTCCACACACTCAATCAAACAGACTCCAACCTCTCCACAATGGCCAAGACCAGAGAGCTGTGTAAGGACATCAGGGATACAATTGTAGACCTGCACAAGGCTGGGATGGGCTACAGGACAATAGGCAAGCAGCTTGGTGAGAAGGCAACAACTGTTGGCGCAATTATTAGAAAATGGAAGAAGTTCAAGATGACGGTCAATCACCCTCGGTCTGGGGCTCCATGCAAGATATCAACTCGTGGGGCATCAATGATCATGAGGAAGGTGAGGGATCAGCCCAGAACTACACGGCAGGACCTGGTCAATGACCTGAAGAGAGCTGGGACCACAGTCTCAAAGAAAACCATTAGTAACACACTACGCCGTCATGGATTAAAATCCTGGAGGTGGAAAAATCATTCTTTGGGGATGGTTTTCTGCAAAGGGGACAGGACGACTGTACCGTATTGAGGGGAGGATGGATGGGGCCATGTATCGCGAGATCTTGGCCAACAACCTCCTTCCCTCAGTAAGAGCATTGAAGATGGGTCGTGGCTGGGTCTTCCAGCATGACAACGACCCGAAACACACAGCCAGGGCAACTTAGGAGTGGCTCCGTAAGAAGCATCTCAAGGTCCTGGAGTGGCCTAGCCAGTCTCCAGACCTGAACCCAATAGAAAATCTTTGGAGGGAGCTGAAAGTCCGTATTGCCCAGCAACACCCCCGAAACCTGAAGGATCTGGAGAAGGTCTGTATGGAGGAGTGGGCCAAAATCCCTGCTGCAGTGTGTGCAAACCTGGTCAAGACCTACAGGAAACGTATGATCTCTGTAATTGCAAACAAAGGTTGCTATACCAAATATTAAGTTCTGCTTTTCTGATGTATCAAATACTTATGTCATGCAATAAAATGCAAACTAATAACTTAAAAATCATACAATGTGATTTTCTGGATTTTTGTTTTAGATTCCGTCTCTCACAGTTGAAGTGTACCTATGATAAAAATTACAGACCTCTACATGCTTTGTAAGTAGGAAAACCTGCAAAATCGGCAGTGTATCAAATACTTGTTCTCCCCACTGTACATATGAGATGAGTAATGAAAGATATGTAAACATTATTAAAGTGACTAGTGTTACATCTATTAAAGTGGCCAGTGATTTCTAATCTATGTACAGTGGGGAAAAAAAGTATTTAGTCAGCCACCAATTGTGCAAGTTCTCCCACTTAAAAAGATGAGAGAGGCCTGTAATTTTCATCATAGGTACACATCAACTATGACAGACAAATTGAGATTTTTTTTCTCCAGAAAATCACATTGTAGGATTTTTAATGAATTTATTTGCAAATTATGGTGGAAAATAAGTATTTGGTCACCTACAAACAAGCAAGATTTCTGGCTCTCACAGACCTGTAACTTCTTCTTTAAGAGGCTCCTCTGTCCTCCACTCATTACCTGTATTAATGGCACCTGTTTGAACTTGTTATCAGTATAAAAGACACCTGTCCACAACCTCAAACAGTCACACTACAAACTCCACTATGGCCAAGACCAAAGAGCTGTCAAAGGACACCAGAAACAAAATTGTAGACCTGCACCAGGCTGGAAAGACTGAATCTGCAATAGGTAAGCAGCTTGGTTTGAAGAAATCAACTGTGGGAGCAATTATTAGGAAATGGAAGACATACAAGACCACTGATAATCTCCCTCGATCTGGGGCTCCACGCAAGATCTCACCTCGTGGGGTCAAAATGATCACAAGAACGGTGAGCAAAAATCCCAGAACCACACGGGGGGACCTAGTGAATGACCTGCAGAGAGCTGGGACCAAAGTAACAAAGCCTACCATCAGTAACACACTACGCCGCCAGGGACTCAAATCCTGCAGTGCCAGACGTGTCCCCCTGCTTAAGCCAGTACATGTCCAGGCCCGTCTGAAGTTTGCATTTGGATGATCCAGAAGAGGATTGGGTGAATGTCATATGGTCAGATGAAACCAAAATATAACTTTTTGGTAAAAACTCAACTCGTCGTGTTTGGAGGACAAAGAATGCTGAGTTCCATCCGAAGAACACCATACCTACTGTGAAGCATGGGGGTGGAAACATCATGCTTTGGGGCTGTTTTTCTGCAAAGGGACCAGGACGACTGATCCGTGTAAAGGAAAGAATGAATGGGGCCATGTATCGTGAGATTTTGAGTGAAAACCTCCTTCCATCAGCAAGGGCATTGAAGATGAAACGTGGCTGGGTCTTTCAGCATGACAATGATCCCAAACACACCGCCCGGGCAACGAAGGAGTGGCTTCGTAAGAAGCATTTCAAGGTCCTGGAGTGGCCTAGCCAGTCTCCAGATCTCAACCCCATAGAAAATCTTTGGAGGGAGTTGAAAGTCCGTGTTGCCCAGCGACAGCCCCAAAACATCACTGTTCTAGAGGAGATCTGCATGGAGGAATGGGCCAAAATACCAGCAACAGTGTGTGAAAACCTTGAAGACTTACAGAAAACCTTTGACCTGTGTCATTGCCAACAAAGGGTATATAAAAGTATTGAGAAACGTTTGTTATTGACCAAATACTTATTTTCCACCATAATTTGCAAATAAATTCATAAAAAATCCTACAATGTGATTTTCTGGAAGAAAAACATCTCATTTTGTCTGTCATAGTTGACGTGTACCTATGATGAAAATTACAGGCCTCTCTCATCTTTTTAAGTGGGAGAACTTGCACAATTGGCTGACTAAATACTTTTTTCCCCCACTGTATATAGGCAGCAGCCTCTAATGTGCTAGTGTCGTCTATTTAACAGTCTGATGGCCTTGAAATAGAAGTTGCTTTTCAGTCTCTCGGTTCCAGCTTTGATGCACCTGTACTGACCTCGCCTTCTGGATGATAGCGGGGTGAACAGGCAGTGGCTCGGGTGGTTGTTGTCCTTGATTATCTTTTTGGCCTTCCTGTGACATCGAGTGCTGTAGGTGTCCTGGAGGGCTGGTAGTTTGCCTCCGGTGATGCGTTGGGCAGACCGCAGGGGGATGTTCCCTCTGCTATTTCCTGAAGTCCACGATCATCTCCTTTGTTTTGTTGATGTTGAGTGAGCGGTTATTTTCCAAGCACCACACTCCCAGAGCCCTCACCTCCTCCCTGTAGGCTGTCTTGTCATTGTTTGTAATCAAACCGACTACTGTTGTGTCGTCTGCAAACTTGATGATTGAGTTGGAGGAATGCTTGGCCACGTAGTCATGGGTGAACAGGGAGTACAGGAGGGGACTGAGCATGCACCCTTGTGGGGACCCAGTGTTGAGGATCAGCGAAGTGGCAGTGTTCAGACCCAGGGACTCGAGCTTAATGATGAGCTTGGAGGGTACTATGGTGTTGAATGCTGAGCTATAGTCAATGAACAGCATTCTTACATAGGTATTCCTCTTGTTCAGATGGGATAAGGCATTGTGCAGTGTGATGGAGATTGCATCGTCTGTGGATCTATTGGGGTGGTAATCAAATTGAAGTGGGTCTAGGGTGGCAGGTAAGGTAGACTCTCAAAGCACTTCATGATGACAGAAGTGAGTGCTACGGGGCGACAGTCATTTAGTTCAGTTACCTTTGCTTTCTTGGGTACAGGGACAATGGTGGCCATCTTGAAGCATGTGGGGACAGCAGACTGGGATAGGGAGAGATTGAATATGTCCGTAAATACACCAGCCAGCTGGTCTGCACATGCTCTGAGGACGCGGCTAGGGATGCCATCTGGGCCGGCAGCCTTGCGAGGGTTAACACGCTTAAATGTCTTACGTCGGCCACGGGAGAAGGAGAGTCCACAGTCCTTGGTAGCGGGCCGCGCCGGTGTATTATCCCCAAAGCGGGCGAAGAAGGTGTTTAGCTTGTCCGGAAGCAAGACGTCGGTGTCCGCGACGTGGCTGGGGCAAGTCCCTGTGAATACGCTAGTCGCATCCGCTCTTTGAGCTGTATAGCTCTTTACATAACTTCCCCAGCATCAATAAGTTCCCTTCTGATTTTCTCTGGAGCCCTCCGAACCCTCGTGGTGCAGCGCTATTTAACGATAAAATCTATGTAATAAAATATTAATTATGGTGAAGAGAGGCCGGCGAGAAATAAGAGGGCTAATTAGGAACCCTGTACAGAACAAAGGTCAGGACAGAGACAGAGGGAGGGAAAAGAAGAGGAGTGGAGAGAGTGGAGGA